ATATTGATAGGAATTTGGCTAATCCAGGTGCCAAATACATTTGTCCAAACTCATATTTTTAACATTTTAGTACTACTTAAAAATTTTAGCTCAAAGCTAAAGTCAAAATGGATTAAAGATCTAAACATTAAAACAGAAACACTGTATTTCCTGGAAAAGAAAGTAGGAGGAACTCTTGAAGACATAGGGGTAAGCAAAGAATTCATGAACAAAAATGAAATCACACAGGAAACACTTGAAAGAATTAACAACGGGGACCTGCTCTTACTGAGAAGTTTTTGCACGTCAAAAGAAATTACTGACAAAGTGAAAAGACAACCCACAAATTTGGAAAAAGTCATGACAAATAAGTACTCAGACAAAGGTCTGCTCTCTAGAATTTATAAAGAACTAAAAAACACCAGGGCCCCAAAATTTAAAGACCCAGTCCAGAAATGGGCATCTGAGATGAACACACATTTCTCAGAGGATGAAATTAAAGTGAATAAGTATATGAAAAAATGCTCCACATCACTAGCCATCCACGAAATGCAAATTAAAACAACATTGAGATATCACCTCACCCCAGAAAGAATGGCTATCATAAAGAAATCACCCAACAACAAATGTTGGAGAGGCTGTGGGGAAAAAGGAACCCTTCTCCACTGCTGGTGTGAATGTAGACTGGTGCAACCATTATGGAAATCAGTATGGAGACTCCTTAGAAAAATTGGACTGGAAATCCCATTTAAATCAGCTATTCTACTGGGAATTTTCCCGGAGGATCTGAAAACATCATATCATAGGGATATATGTGTGCCTATGTTTATAGCAGCACAATTTGTGATAGGCAAATCTTGGAAACAACCACGATGCCCATCACCTGAGGAATGGTTGAGAAAGATGTGGTATTTTTACACAATGGAGTATTACTCAGCTATAAAGAATGATAAACTCAAAGTCTTTATATTGAAGTGGATGCCACTTGAAGATATACTCATGAGTGAAATAAACCAGACACACATGTGTAAATATTGTATAGTTTCCCTAGTATAAGAACTCAAATAAGAAATAAAAATAGAAAGGTATAATACAAGTAAATGAAAGCAAGAACTCGAGGACTAACTAATTAGGAAGGCATAGGAGAAGAGCTAGGAAACACGACAGTGACAAGCCATACAGTTATATGTAGAAGATGGGCAATGCAATGATCCTGAGAATCTCCAGAGGATTTTTGAATCTAGCAGTTAATTGGAAAGATTCTCACCCTGACTAACTATATATACTGATACCTGTGAACTAAGCTACTGCACTGAAAATGGCAATTTGTAATAGTAGGTTCATGCTTGGAGTGCCTGTCATTCTGGTCTTCTGAATACGGGCTGCTTGTCATGATATGCCAGTTGCTGCTGTGCTGTCTCTTGGGTAGATGATTGTTCAAAAAGAAGGGGGTGGTGAATGAAGGCAGAAGACAGGAAAAGAAATGTTGTGGGATTGTCCTGCTTCAAGGTTGTATATGGTTAGATTTCTGGACTTGTGTGTAAACATAAGTATTATATAATTCTTTATGCCTATTTTCAAAATATATTTTAATTTTTTAAATGTTTTTCATCATATTCTGTAGGGACTTAAAATTCAACATATCAATACTTGATGAAAAATACCTGTTCCATGTTATGCCTAAGATGCTTGATATTCAGACAGATAGTGAGCTTAAGTTTAACAGTCTAGGTTGTATGGTAATAACAAGAAGCTTGTCTTCTGGATGGTTAACCACCTAAGCTTGCAGTCCAATACTAGAGAAAAAGGACAGCCACAAGGAAAGCCAACATTTTGGTCCTAGCCTTCCAAGGTCACTTAAGACTCAGGACATAAAAGAACTTGTACTGTAATGTCATGTAACTCAGTAGTGTCCCAAATTTTCTGATGAAGGAGATTATGAGGCCAAAGAGGAAAGGGATCGATGATGTAGAGTGTGCCTAAGGAGAGTCACATGGAGAGAAAACATTCTCTCAGGCTTTCACAGAGGGTACACTGGCCAAGCAATGGCCATGACTCATCCACATGGCTGACACTGACAAAGGATCTACAATCTGAGATACAGGATCTCAGGTTAAATCCTGAGGGGATTTCACTGACCTTATCAGATCCAAAAGCTACAACTCTTGTGGCATAGGTCTTGCTTTATCTTGGTCTTAACTATCCAGCAGAAAAGTATAAAAACGAAGTATAAGAAGTAAAGCTATGGTGTTATGTTGAGCTGTAGGGAACTCAGGTCAACAATTTCTGACACTGCCAATCAAGAGGAAGACCCAATAGTATTATGGACTACTAGACTCTTTTAGAATATTTTGCTGAGTTAACACATCTATAATATTCAAATGATGGAACTGAACAGAAAAGGGGGATACAGATGAATGTCCATTTTGTATCCGTGTATTCAAAATGGTTAGGATAGATAAATAGTTACATTCTCTTAATGAATAGAGGAATTTGCTCTAATGGTGTTTGTAAATAGGATATCAAGTCCACATCTTGTATAGCAATTAACCACTAGGAACAATGTATGCAATGTGTTAATTATTGAAACTGTCCTACCAATTTGGTTTGAAACTGTCTCATTGGTATTTGTTTCTCAATAAAATTATGGGGAAATATTTTATTTCAAAACAATTGCCAGAAACAAATAGTGAACTTTATTGTATAAAAATGTTGAAGTATTTTAGAGGTAAATGTACCTATATGTGCAGTATACTTTAAATACATTAAAATGTGTTTAACTGATTGATGGGTAGAGAAAAGGAAAGATAAATGGAAAAGAAAATGATAAAATAAATATAGTACTGTCTTAATGATAGAACCTACATGGCAGATTCCTGGTCCTTCTCTGTTAACTGCTTTCAACACTTTTATTAACTTAATACTGTCTGTAATAAGATGTTGAAAAAATACTGAGTATCTACTTATTTCTTTGGCAGTATGGGTACACAAGAGATAACTGAGGGAGATTTTCCCGAAGGATTTTATCTAAATGGAAGTGAATTAGTGTTGATGTCGTTCTTTGTACAAGCCAGGGACAATAGTAGTGGTGATAGTTTATTTTTATCTTAATAATAATGGGTTTTATAACTGGAAATTAATGACCAACAAGTTATATGACTTACCCAAGGCCACCAACCAGTGAATGGCAGGCAGGATTTCACACTGAACTCTTTCTGATTACCAAGTTATTACCCTTTGTCTAGTGAAGTTTTGCAGCCATTTCCATGCTGCTTCTGCCCTCTGCATCTTCTTTTTTTTAAATTAAATTTATTCAGAAATAGCAATAAGACAATTTCAAAACCGATTAATAAGACAATTTTAATAATTAATACGTTGCATATTGTTGTCTTCGTAGTGGTTATTCATAGTACAAGATGCAGACATGATATTCTGTACAAACATTATTAGTACAAATCTTTCTTCTCATTGAATTAAGAGAAAGTAGCTGTATATCTATCCTATTTTTTCCCCATAATTTTATTGAGAGGCATATAGCAATGAGATAGTTTCAAATCAAATTGGTATGACAGTTTCTATAATTAACACATTGCATACTCTTTTCCTGGTGGTTATTTGCTGTACAAGATGCAGACATGATATCCTATTTACAAACACTATTAGAACAAATCCCTCTATTCATTAAGAGAATGTAACTATATATCTATCCTAACCACTTTGAATACACAGATACAAAATGGACATTCATCTGTATCCCCCTTTTTTGTTTAGTTCCTTCATTTGAATATTATAGGTGTGTTAACTCAGCAAAATATTCTAAAAGAGCCTAGTAATCTATAATAGTATTGGGTCTTCTGCTTGACTGGCAGTGTCTGAAATTGTTGACCTGAGTCCCCTACAGCTCAACATAACACCATGGCTTTATTTCTTATACTTCATTTTTATACTTTTCTGCTGGTTGGTTAAGACCAAGATAAAGCAAGACCTGTGCAACAAGAGTTGTAGCTTTTGGATCTGATAAGGTAAGTCAAATCCCCTCAGGATTCTTGTTTGCTTCATTTTCTCTTAGTACTGAGGGCCACAGATTTTTATATGTTTTCCTCGCAGTTGCATTGCCAGGGTCAAAAACAGTGCCTGGCTCTTGATAGATGGGCAAGAATATTTTTTGAGGAAATTTAACTAATGCACAGTAGGAGTTTGTCCTTAGTGAAAAGGAAATTCAAATGCAAAATAGCATAAGAAAAACTCTGGCTGCAAAATGGAAAATAATCAGTTCCAGAAACCTAAAATGGTTTAGTATATCTAGGACAGAATGTGTGTGGAAAACATGAATTGTATGGGATGATGCTAGAAGAATAAGAAGGGATCAGATTGTGTAGTACCCTGTAAATCCTGAGAATGACTCTGGTCTTTCTTTGAAAGACACTAAAGAGATGGAACAAGTTCTTTACAGGGGAATTACAAAGTAAGACTGATATTTTAGGAAAAATATGTTCTAGGTATAGCACAAAAATGAATAGAATGGAATTCATGGTGGAGGTAAGGACGCCAATTAAAAGGCTTTGAGAATGGCACAGAAGAGAGGTAACACTGGTCTTATCAAAAAGAGAGGCACTGTGAATATAAAGCAGTCGATAGCTTGAAAAAAATTAGGAGGTAAAATTGATGATATTGGTCTGTCAATGGGAGAATGAAGAAAAAGTTAAGGATGACTTCTGGATGTTTAGATTTGGGCAACATGTTAGATGGTGGTGTAATTCACTAAAATATGGGTGAACAAGAGAAGGGGAAGGCTTAAAATGAGTGGAGATGATCAGTTCAGTTTTGAGTATAACATTTTATCATTCAATAAATATTTAGTTGGTGATATCCAGGAAGAAATTGGGTACCCTGGCAAAAAGTTTTTGTATAATTTTGAGCTAAAGTTGTTAATATTGTTGTCATCATGCCTTTGGGTACTCTACCTGTACAGTTACTGAGGACAATTTAATAACTTCATTTTAATAATCTTTTCCTTTTAAAAATACTACTTTTAATACCTGCCTTTCTCCAAATGAAACATTCTTTATCTGCTGACATATTTATTATTCATAGGCAGTGTAAGACTATAAAGTATTCTATAATAAAAAAACTATAGAATAGTAATACTAAAATGTGCCAGGGAATTATCATCACATTAGAAGTTTGATGTTTGGTAAATACATTATAGTGGAGGATAGTCCTTTGTTACTCACCTGATCAAATACAGCTCCTTATTCCATGGGTAGATATTTAAGACTGGCCCAACCCCAATCATGTGGTTGTGACATTCTCCAACATTTTCAATATATTCATGCTTCAATGGCACTTTGCTGAGGAGCTCAAATTCCTCAGGTGCCTTTTGAAGTACCTGTTCTGCTGCATAGAATCCATCTACTAACAGTGTCCTGCCACCTGTTCCTTCATGCTTAAGACAGTGAAACACTTGAATGCTAAAGGGGAAAAGAAAAGAAAATTCTTATGTTCATTGGCTAAAAGGGAGTATGTCAAATTTCTAGAATATCATATAGCAAATGATTATTGAACCTACTTGTGTCATTTTATTTTTAGAAAGAAATTTCATTTCTTAATGGCTTTCTCCTTATAATTAGTTACATCATTTTTGTACTTTGAAATATTACAGTCACTATAGGTTTCTTCTAAATATATCTAACATGTATCAAAGCTTCTATATGGCAGGCCTTGGAAATGTAGGCAGGAATAAGATACAGCTTCTGTTCTAGTAAGAAGAGACGAGGCCAGTACCATTAAAATACCTTAGGTACTACAATACAGTTGTATATAAGACATAGTGAGGTGCATAAAAAGAAATAATCTAGTCTAGAGGAGTGCTATACAAAGGAATGTTTGAGGAATGGGACAGCTTTACCTAATCTGAAAGAACAATCAAGAACTAGACGGGAAGGCCATATTAATATGCTGAGCTGTAAAAGATTCAAGTCACCAAATTCTGACACTGCCAGTCCTACAGATAACCCACTACTATAATGGACTACTGGACTGTATTGGATTACTTTGCTGAAATCATGCGCCTACAACATTTGAATGGCAATGGAATACCCATTCCTGGCAAAACTAAACAAAAAAGGGGGGTATAAATGAAGGCCTATTTTGTAGTGAAAAAAAATATATCTGTATATACAAAATAGGATTCATATACAGTTACTTTCTTTTAGTTCAATGAGAAGAAAGATTTGTACTCTAGTGTTTAGACACGATATCATGTGTGCATCTTGTACTCTGAATAACTACTATGAAGACAACAATAAGCAATGTATTAATTATTTTAACTGTCCTACTAATCTGTTTTGAAACTGTCTCATTGCAACTTCTCATTAAAATTAATTTTAAAAAGTCACAAAAAAGAATTAGACTGGAAGAAGACTGAAATGGACATTCAAGATAGAGAAAAAATGTGACCAACTATATTGATGTAAAACAAAGTAGACAATATATAATGTATTAATTATTGTAACTGTCCTACTAACTTATTTTGAAACTATTTCATTGCTATTTTATCATTAAAATGATTAAAAATTTGATAATGATAAAAATAAAAAAAATAGAGCTGTGTGTGGTGGTGTACATTTTAAATTTCAGTACTCTGGGAGGCTGAAGCAGGAAAATAAAATTTGATCCTGGCCTAAGCAATTAAGTAATTTAGAAAGAGCCTGTCTAAAAATAAAAACTAGAAAAGGTCTGGAAATGTATCTCAGTGCCAAAGCTGAGGGTTCAATCTTCAGTTCAGAAAAAAAAGTGTATATTCAAAGAGAATAAGAAGTTTCTGGGGCCAGCCAAATAGTTCAGCAGATTAAAGTGCCTGCAAGCAGGTGCAGGGGCCGGGGGTTCAATTCCCGGGCCTGCCATGCTGGCCATGCCCCGAGGCAGGCTGAGATGGCAATTGAGGCTGGGCATGATGGAGCACACCTGTAAGCCCAGCTCTTGGGAGGCTGTAAACAGGCAGATCACTGCGAGACCAATCTAGTAGTGAGACACTGAACAAATGGGAAGAAAGCTGACAAGAAACTTGGAAACCAGAAACAATTTAGATAAAAATCTCTTTCTTGAGTTAAGCATTGGTCTTTGCTGTTGATTAGGAAGGGTAAAATTAAGAAACAGTCACTAAGCTCTGGCATTGGTCAAAGAAGAAGAGCTAGTCAGTGTTTGAACCTCAGCTCTGTCCAGATGCTCCTCATTCTATTTCCTTATTGTGTGTGTGTGTGTTTCCTAGAATAAAGATGCAGTGCTGTTGGTCTCTACTTATATTGACAATGTTGGACAGGACACCAGAAAGTTGATGTATTTTTCCTTTCCTGAACTAAATATTCTTAAGTTCTAAACTCTTGAAATAAATGTAAATATAGTCAGTTGTATGTCATCACCCTCCTATACTCTGTTAATCCAGTACATTAACTTTACTGATATATGTGTTTCAGGTTAATGATCTATTTCAGGAGCAAGATTAACAATAATAAAATAAAAACTGCAGAAGTACCTCTTATAAGTAGCAAATGGTAGGAAAGTTAAGCTACTGATTCAACATGGAAAAGGTGATTTTTTTCAGACCTCTCCACCGCCAGCTTCATATAAGTTAGACTCAAATTCCTGTTAATACCATTTTCAAAACAGCAGTGCTTGCAGGACTGCTCCTTTTGCAATATGATAACTAAAGACAAGAAAGCTGCAAAACTCTAAAACTAATGATTAACCAATATTTTTCTTGGTAAGTTATAATGATATTGAGAAAAATATGTTGAAAAATTAAGACCACATTTACATAGTAAGGTGGGGTTTCAATCACTTAAAAATTATTATATGGGGCTAAAGAAGACTGAGCTAGGGGAAGAGAGAGAGAAGCAATCATACCAGTAAACAGCAGGAAATGTGATCTTGGTTCAAAGAGAATAGGAAGTGATTAAGAAAGTACTTAAGACTATCACATGTAAGTACTCTATACTGTAGACATCTAATCCACCTACCCACAGGGTTCTTGAAAATAGGTAGTATCAGTGTGCCGATCCAGAGCTAGTTTGGTATATGCTGTGTCACCCCTGGAGAAATCTGAAGTGAAATACCACATCTTCCCATAGATGGTTTCTCTGTCAATAAAAAGACACATAACATACTTGAACATTTCTTTTTATTTTTCAAAACTATTTTCAATACTCTAGTTGCTCACAAATAAAAATTGATTTGGTTTTTCAGATTTTCATCCATAAGGTGATATTTATAGCTACACACACAGGTATTGACAATTCTGCTACCGATTAATATTCTAGGAAGTTGAGGGGAAAACTGTGTAAGTATATATATTCTGAAATTTTAGGGAATCATCCTACTTGTTTATATGCCTACTTTTAATAGCCTTCACATTCAAGATTATTCCCTGTGCTTACCTTCCTTTCATAGAAAAAGATGGTGTGGCTGCTTCTAGAAGTGATGTTTTTACTTAATTTTAAAAACAACTGTTGTCTTTTATTAATATTCTTATTTTTCAATAAAAGTGTTAATTTTTAATATCTTGGATAATCCAATTTTCAGGGGTGACTAAAGCATTTCCATATTCTTCATATGACATAGAAGTAATTAATGTAGATCTTCACTTATCTTTTGGACATGGACAAATAAGGAAAAGAGAAAAGGATAGTTTATGTTATAAGTATTCAGTGAGAACTGTTGTATTTCTCCTCGATGCATGCAGCATAGATTTTGATTATGTAATTATTTTGGTGGTGAGCTCAGATCTGACCTAAAAGTCAATTTCTTTAGCTTTCAGAGTTCTTATTCTCTCAACACACAAGTACAAACAAGAAAATTTCTTTCTTTTCAACTAAAGGTTCTAAATCCCTCTCAATTTATTGCTTACCAGTACTGTTTTTCTTATTCTAAAGTTTTCAAATTGTATTTCAAACTGAATGGCTTACAAGTGGTATTGATTATGTTCTACCAGGGTAAATTACCCAATATACTATCTTTTACACAATCAACTATATCTGGGTTTTATTAAGTAAAAGGAAAGTATTAATTAAAGTAAGTAGGTTTAGGGGCTGGGGAGGTAGCTCAGTAGATTAAGCGCTTGCCTGGCAAGCACAAGGGCCTGAGTTCAATCCCTGGTTCTGAAAAAAAAAGAAAAGTAAGTAGGTTTATTTCACATTCAATACCATAGAAGATCTATCTATATGCCAACTAGAAAAGCAGAATGCTAATCAAGAGTATTATTTAGGATCACAGAACTTCTGCTAAAGCTATTTAAATGGTGGCTTTACATCTTACTATCAGGGAAATCTTGGGCAAGTGATTTTTTTGTATATTAGAAACAGATGCCCCATCAGTAGAACACAGGATAAAACACACAATGATAAGGATTACTATAATGACCAAAATAAAATAATGGATGTGAGATGTGGTGATTAAATGCTATGTAGTGTTTATTTACAGTCAATCTCTGAATCAAGTCCTATGAATCACAGGTCAAAAGTGTGATTTGAGGCCAGCCTGATAGCTCAGTGGACTAAAATGCCTGCGTGGGCAGAGTGCAGCGGCTGGGGTTTGATCCCTCATTTGCTGTACTGGCCTTGCCCCCTGGGCGCGCTGAGATGGTGATTGAGACTGGGCGTGGTGGTGCGCGCCTATGATTCCAGCGCTTGGGAGGCTGGAAACAGGAGGATCACTATGAGTCCAATCTATACTGTGAGACCCTGAACAACCTGTAGACCCTGTTCGAAATAAAAAAAACAAACCTGTAATTTTTAGACACCATATTCAATTTTCCACTGAAAAGGTGGAAAAACAGAGGGGTGAGGGTGTGTGTGTGTGTGTGTGTGTGTGTGTGTGTGTGTGTGTGTGTTTGTATAATGGGTTTGTCCATGGTCACATAATAGCTTAATGGTAGAATTCAGACTACAATGCAGTTATTGTTAATCACAGTGCTCTTTCTAATGTGTAAATGGTAATTATCACTCTAAGGATCATTAGGTTAGAAAAAACATATACCAATGATTTTGAAGTCTTCATTAAATTTGACATTAAAGGGTCTTTAAAGATGAGAAATCAAATCCTCATTATAAAGCACTGCAAGCAACAGTACCCTTTTTAGGCTACAGGTATTCTGAACTGAACACAAAGGCAATTATACCTTTTACACTTTTCATTGGTGCTCATATTTTGGAAATTAATTAATATGGATTTCAAAAAACCCAATAAATTACCTGATCAAGCTGATCCTTTCTGCCAACTTCTCTGTGTGCTCTTGAGTGGCAGGGACATTTTCTACAAATGCAATTCCATAAAGCAGAAAGTTTTGTAGAAACATCTTCAGTCCCTCTTTGGTTTCTAAGAAGCTCTGGAAATCTACAGATGGAACTTGGGCTTGCTGGTAGACTTCAGCATTCCATAATATTCTAGGCTGGATAACCTTTTGTTTCTGCCCTTCATAGCTGTTTTTCACCAGCCAATCCAAATCATATTTAGTCACATGACCATCTGGCCCTTTTTAGGGAAAAATTGTTAAGATAATAATTACAAATATTGCCAATAATTTACTGGTTAAGAATGCTAATTTTTAGCCATTTATCATCCAGTATTGTATTGTTTATGAGACCAGAAATATAATGAGTACCTAGAATGCTTCTGAGAGAGAAATATTTGTGGACTTATTGTTATGCATAAATAAATGAATGCATAAATTGATAAATCTTCCAAAAAGGTAAATAATTTCATCAAATTATAGCTATATAGAAAAGGACATTCTGGGGCTGGGGAGATGGCTCAGTAGGATAAGTGCTTCCCTGGCAAGTGCAAGGATCTGAATTCAATCCCTGGTTCTGCCAAAAAAGTAAAAAAAAAAAAAAAAGAAAGAAAGAAAAGGACTTTCTGAAACATTCATCAAGTAATCAAAGAATTATTATCCCAGTAGGATTTTAGTCTACTTAGCACTGTCCCCCTTGCCCTCAGTTCCTATCTCCTGCCTCAAAAAAACTTAAAAGTATTTGAGCTACAAGAGACTAATCTTTATTTCACAGATAGTGAAAAAGCTAGTCTATGTTGAATATCACTTACCCAAAATTCTTAGTATTGGAGATTTGTAGTTCTTTGAATTTGCAATATTTGCGTAGAATTTACCAAAGTCAAAGATACTTAACCTGTACCATAGTTGGAACCAGAACTTTATCTTCTTGGTCTAGGTAGATATTTCATGCTACCTCCCTCTTCTAAATGGCTTAGAGCATTTCTGTCTCATAACATACTGTCCAATAAAAATTTCCATCATTATGACACAATAAAGTGTCTTCATAAGTGCCTTTGCCCAGTGTGCAAAAGAAAGGTCAACTCCCAGTAACCTGCCTCTTCCAACCCCCAAATACACTAGAAAATCACTAAAATAAGCAATGCAGGCAACAAGACTAATAAAATCTATGTGTCATGTCTCTTATTTTCTCTCTCCTCTTTTCACTCCCTTCCCTTGATAAAAAAAATATACATTGAATTGTGAACAATTAAAAATGATAACCAAGTAAAGAGAAATTAAAATTTACCTGTATTTATAATTTCACCATCTAGATTAAAACCATGATTGACAGCTTAACATCATTCCTTTCAGCATTATACTATGCATCTTTACATAACATGGGATGTAAAGGACAATACTTACATAATTTTGTGTCTGTCAATTCTATTTAACATTTCAGCAATCATTTTATAATTTTTGAGATTAAATCTTGATAAAAATTAATTCTAAAAGTTTTCAGAATATAGAATACCAGGATTTACCTAGGGGTACATGGTTTTATTTTTGAAAATTTCCCCTGTTATTTAATAGTAATTATCTATATCCATAATTTTTAAATCAATTTTATTGAGAAACAAATACCAGTGAGACAGTTTCAAAACAGCTTAGTAGGACAGTTACAATAATTAATACAATGCATATTTTTGTCTTTGTAGTAGTATAGTACAAGATGCAAACATGATATCCTATCCAAACACTATTCATACAAATATTTCTTCTCACTGAATTAAGAGAACGGAGCTATGTATCTATCTTAACTCTTTTGTATATGCATATATATACTCTCTCTCTCTCTCTCTCTCTCTCTCTCTCTCTCTCTCTCTCACACACACACACACACACACACACATATATATATATTTCACTACAAAATGGTCCTTAATTTATATTAATTTATTCCCCTTTTTTGTTTACTTTTGTCAGAGATTGGTATTCCATTGCCATTTAAATATTGTAGGTGCATGAATTCAGCAAAATAATCCAATATAGTCCAGTAGTCCATAATAGTAGTGGGTTATCTGTAGGACTGGCAATGTCAGAAGTTGTTGACTTGAGTCTTTTACAGCTCAGCATATTAATATGGCTTTACTTTTTATATTTCATTTTTATGCTTTTCTGCTTGATGGTTAAGACCAAGATAAAGCAAGACCTACATAAGTAAAAATGTAACTTTTTCTATCTGATAAGATCAGTCAAATCCCCTTAGCATTTACCCTGAAACCCTGTACCGCAGTTTGTAGATCCTTTGTCAGTGTCAGCCATGTGGATGAGTCATTGCTTGACCATTGCTTGACCAGTCTGATCTCTGTGAAAGCCTGAGAGAATGTTTTCTCTCTAGGTGACTTTCCTTAGGTGCATTATACATCGTCCATCACTTTCCTCTGTGGCCCCATAATCTCCTTGATCAGAAAATTTGGGGGGCCTGACCCTTAGCTCAGTTGTTTAAGTGGCTGCTTCAACAAAGCAGTCAGCCTCAGATTGCTTTGGTTCTATCCCCACAACTCCAGCCAGCCAAACATGCCCCAAAGGCATTCTGAGCCAGCCCCGCCCCCCTAAAAAATCCTTCTGCCATTAAAAAAAAAAAAGAAAATTTGGGACACCACTGAGTTACAGGATGTTACAGTACAGGTTCTCTTATATTCTGAGTCCTCACTGACCTTGAATGTCTAGGGCCGAAATTTTGCCCTTCTTTTTCTCTAAGTTTTGGTCTGCAAACTTAAACTGTTAACCTTCCAGAAGAGAAGCTTAATGGTATCATTACCCTATAACACAAGCAGTTGAGCTGAACCTCATCTAATATCAAACATCTTAGACATAACATTGAACAGGCATTTTTCCATCAAGTATTGATATGTCAAACTTTAAATCCCTATAGAGTGCGAAGGAAAAAATATGAAAAAAATAGAAATAAATAATTACATATTTTTTACACAGAAATTTAGAAATCTAACCATATACAGCATTGTATCATAATTTTGTTAATTTAAAAATAAGAGTATGCACTGGACACATAAACTTATATGCCAAATTACTTTTTAGGAAGGTTCCACTAATTTTTATTCCTTCCAATAGTATGTATGTGCTCAATAAAACTGAGTATTCTTTTTAGGAGTGTATATTTTTCTAATTTATTTAAGTAAAATGCCATTTTGTAAGAATCTGAAATTGTTTTTTTACTATTATTAGTAATATTATGCCTAATTAGAACATTTTTCATGTCTATTAGATATCTACATTTATTTAATGCAGGGTTCACCGAAGTATGATACATGACTCAAATGTAGCACTTATTTATGTAGAATCTGTTTTGGAACACACACATCCACTTAGTTACAAATTCTCTATGGCTTAACGTGCTCTACAGTTTTATGTTCTTATTTTCTCTATAGATCTACATTTTCAAATTCTCTATAGTTCAATATAGTTGTGACCATACAGCTAACAAAGCTTAAGAATATTTGTTGTCTCACTTATAAAAAATAATTGCTTATTACTGCTTTAATGATTTGTCTGCCCACTTCTTCCTCATATTTTTCTATGAGAATACTGGTGCTTTTCTTACAATTTAGCAATAGCACCTTATAAAGTAGGAGCATTTGGTCTTTTAGTAATAGCACTTTATATAGGGTAGGCAGTCTTTGAAAATATTTTGTCAAGTTTTTCTATGTTTTCTATCACACAAAAATTAATAGTCAATGTATTGATTGTAAACTATTATTTTCTCTCCAATGCTTTCTCTGTTTAACATTTATTTGGAGATTGTAGCTTTACAGGATGTTGTAAAGCAATGTATAGAGAAGTTCCCTGCACTCTTTCTTGGCTCTTTCCCAAAGCTATCATCTGTTAGGGTTTAGATCTACAATGTTCCCCCAAAGACCTCATGTGTTCAGAGTAGGGGCTTTTGGAAGGTGACTGGATCATGGAGGTGTTATCTTCATCAGTGGGTTAATTCACCAAGGAGTCTAGAACTAAATGTGGTTAGAAGATGGGCCTGGTTGGCAGAGGTGGTTCACAAGGAGCTGACCTGGAAGCTCTGACACTCCTCACTTCATTCTGTTTCCTGGCTTCCATGACACAAGCAACTTTATGGTACCAGACCCTTATACCATGCCTTTCCTGCCTTGGAGCCCTTGACCATAGATAGACACTGTTAGATGAAATACCTCTCTTCCTTAAAGTGTGGCTGTTGTATATTGTTTTCCAGCAATGGGAAAGTGACCAAGACAACATCTTATACAAACACAGTATACTATCAAAACCAAGAAAAAGTAATTGGTATAATCCATAGAGTTTATTCAGATTTCACCAATTATACATGTGCTTGTTTGTACATGCATGTGTGTGCAAGTTTTATGCAGTCTTACATGCATAACTTCACATAACTACAGTACCACCACAATCAAGATATCTCAACTTTACCATCATCACAAGAGTTCTTTGTGTTACTTCTATGTAGCTAAAGCTACACCTCTTAACTTCATCCCTAATTCCTGGCAGCAGATACTGCCTTAATTCATGAACTTAATTCTTTCCACAAACCAAACTGGATGAGAAGTAAACCAAGTTGTTCAGTTCAGGTTGACCGCACAGGCAAATCTGCTTCAGCTCTTGTCCAATTTTTTTTTTCTTGTCCAATTTTGTTTACAACCAGAATTGTAGAAAGAATTAAGTTTGTGAACCAAGTTAACAGTGTAATATGTTTTTTTATCTGTATAACTGTATTGTTTCATGAATGTTACATAGATGAGTCATGCAGGTTGGCTTTTTTCTAGCATAATTTCACTAAGATTCTTCTAAGTTATCATGTTTATTAATAGCATATAGTTTTCACTGCTGAGTAATACTCCACTATAATGGTTTGTTTAACCATTCACCCACAGTGTACTTTCCAGTTCTTGGCTATTACAAATGAGGCTTATATGAAAATTAATGTACAAGATTTTGGTTAAATAATGTATAGGTTTTTACATCTTTTGCATAAATACCCAAGAGTGTGGTTTCTGGGTTTAATAGTAACTGTATGCATAATTTTCTAAGAAACTGCCAAACTTTTTCCTTGAGTGGTTGTATTATGAAACTGACATTTTACATTCTTATCAGCTGTATATGACTAATAGGATGTCTCTTTATCTTCTCTAGTATTTGATGTTGTTATGATTTTTTATTTTAGTCATTCTAATAGGTGTGTAATAAAATCTTATTGTGATACTTTCATTTATGTAATGGCTAGCAATGGGGAACATCTTTTCATGTGCATATCTGCCATTTGTGTATCCTACTAAGTCTGTGTTTGACTTCTGTCTTTTCTAATTTGATTCTTTGTTTTGCTGCTGTTTTGAGTTAAGGTGTTTAGTCCCAGTCCCAGTTAGGACCTGAAGATATTCTGTTATGTTCTTGTCTATAAATTTTATAGTTTTATGTTTTGTGTTTAAGCCCACAATCTATATTCTACTTATTATTATACAGACTGTCAGGCTTAGGTCAAGGTTAATTTTTTCTCTTTCTGTGGATGTCCAGTTGCTCCAATGTCAAATGTTGGAGTGATGACCTTCCCTCCACTTCACAGTCTTTGTACATTTGCCAAAGAAAACAATATATTTGGGAGGATTTGTTTCTGGGCTCTCTGCTCCAGTGATCTATGTCTACTGTTTACTTCTTCAAATAGGAAGTAGATCTAAATGGAAATTTTTCAAAAGAAGATGTATAGGGGCCAGGGAGATGGCTCAGTGGAATAAGAGCTTCCCTGGCAAGTGCAGGGGTCTGAGTTCAATCCCCAGTTCTGCCAAAAAAAAAGATGTATAAATGGCCAGCATATTCAGTCATAACTGTAAGCATGTTAGCTATGAAGACAAAAGATTTTCCAGAATGCTTCTAAAGCAAGGGGGGAAAAGTAACTGAAAGAACTCTTGATTTTGGAAAGGAGAAAACCATTTTTTTTTGCTACAAAATAATTGTTCTTTAGGGTACTACTCCAAAAAAGAGGAGGTATTCTTTCCACTTACAAGTGAAAAAAAGTGTAGTCTCATCCAGACGAATGGCCTTTGGCTTGATCCATAAGTCCACACTGGCAGTATCCAGGCTGCGCTGGTGAGTTTTAGAGTTGTAGCAAGATGCTGAACGGCAGTGGTCTCGAAGCCAGACATAGTCAAAGCGCATCACAGTGTTAGCATATTGCAGTTCTAGGGGAAAGACCACATTAATCAAAAATATTTATTTAGGAAAACTAAACAAAATCAATAGCCAGAAATGTCTTTCTAATAAACTTCTACCAAGAACCAAGAGCAAGATGGAAGAGATCAGCCCATTGCCAGTTACTAAAACACACTTTATAATTTATATGATTAAAATGGTGAGAGGCTGGCATAGGAGCAGGCAGATAAAACAATGGAAAAGTATAAAAGCCCAGAAATATACCCAAATGGAAAGTCCCTATACTATTCTAGCAACTTTTCTGTTAGGTTGAAATTATAAGAAAATTAAGTAATAAAAAGTCAAAGACTTTCCTATGTACCAGTTTACTCACCAAAAAAGTCAATACATATGAAATCCAATTTATAAGAACAAGAAAGGGCTCATATGTCCTGAGTCTTAAGTGACTTTGGAAGGCTAGGGCCAAAATGTTGACTTTCCTTGCAGCCCTCCTTTTTTTCTAATTTTGGTCTGCAAACTTAGGTTGTTAACCATCCAGAAGACAAGCTTATTGTTATTACCATACAACTTAGGCTGTTAAGCTTAACCTCACTATCTGTCTGATATAAAACATCTTAGGCATAATATGGAACAGGTATTTTTCATCAAGTATTGATATGTTGAACTTTAAGTCCCTACAGAATATGATAAAAAATTTAAAAATTAGAATATATTTTAAAAATAGTCATAAAGAATTATATACTTCTTATATTTACATATAAGTCCAAAAAACTAACCATACACAACCTTGAAGCAGGACTGTTACATCATGTAACTCGGTAGTGTCCCAAATTTTCTGATCAAGGAGATTATGGGGCCAAAGAGGAAAGTGATAGATGATGTAGAGTGTGCCTAAGGAGAGTCACATGGAGAGAAAACATTCTCTCAGGCTTTCACAGAGAGCACATTGGCCAAGCAAGGGCCATGACTCATCCACATGGCTGACACTGACAAACTATCTACAATCTGAGGTACAGGATCTCAGGATAAATCCTGAGGGGATTTCACTGACCTTATCAGACTCAAAAGCTACAACTCTTGTTGCATAGGTCCTGCTTTACCTTGGTCTTAACCATCCAGCAGAAAAGTATAAAAACGAAGTATAAGAAGTAAAGCCATGCTGTTATGTTGAGCTGTGGGGGACTCAGGTCAACAATTTCTGACATTGCCAGTCAAGCAAAAGACCCAATACTATTATGGGCTACTGGACTCTTTTAGATTATTTTGCTGAGTTTACACACCTATAATATTCAAATAACGGAACTTAACAAAAAAGGGGATACAGATGAATGTCCATTTTGCATCTGTGTATTCAAAGTGGCTAGGATAGATATATAGTTACGTTCTCTTAATGAATAGAGGGATTTGTTCTAATGGTGTTTGTAAATAGAATATCATGTCTGCATCTTGTACAGCAATTAACCACTAGGAAGAATGTATTCAATGTCGTAATTATTGAAACTGTCCTACAATTTGATTTGAAACTCTCTCATTGCTATTTATTTCTCAATAAAATTATGAAAACTAAATAAATAAATAAATAAATGAACAACAAAGGGGTGGCCAGATAGCTCAGTGGACTAAAGTGCCTGCTTAGGCAGGCACAGTGACCAGGCTTAGATACCAGATATGCTGCGCTGGCCCTGCCCCCCGGAGCATGCTGAGATGCGACTGAGACTGGGTGTGGTGTTGCTCACCTGTAATCCCAGTGATTGGGAGGCTGAAAACAGGAGGGTCACTACGAGTCTGACCTGTGCAGTGAGACCCTGTAGACCCTGTACTAAAATACATTTTAAAAAGTCTTTAAAAAAAAAAGAACAGCAGAAAACTGTCTAGGAACAAAAATGTAAGAAAGTCTTATAGAGAAATGTATAAAACCACCCTAAGGGACTGAAGGAAACCTGAATGGAAAAATACCATGCTTGTGGCTGGACAATCCCAGTACTACAAACAAAGTTCTCCTACAAATTAACACAAAATTCCATATAACGTAAACCCATGTCTAGAGGAAGTTTTAATGTACTGGACAAGTTAGATCCAAGATTCATATAAGTAATAAAGCAATAATTTTGAAAAGAAAAGTGCACGGGGGCAAAGAAACAAAAACATAATATAAAACTACAGGCCAAAAAGTATGTTATTAATACAAAAAGATGGATAGGTCAGGGGAAAGAATGGAATCCCAAAGTTGATGCCCATGGAAATTTGGTATATGAAAAAGATGGCATTTCAAACAGTGAAAGAAAGATGGAATAACCAAAGTATTGGAAAAAATGAATATCTGATTCAAATTCTGTTCTTATATCACTTGGAGGAAGATTAAATTTCTGATATACTAAAATATATAAACAACTATTAAAATTACATAATAACAATATTGAGGTAGTAAAGACTGCTTTTATATAACATAAAAAATAAAAGATAAAACATTTTGAAAACAATATAAAAAGAAAAAAGCTCAGAAAAAATGCCTACCATTGAAAAGATTAATACCCACCACATAAAGTAAATCCTTGTGATCATTAAGGTAAGAAACAACACCTTAAATGAAATAATTCAGATAGACAAAGAAAAATTATGCTCTAATCTCATTTATGTGTGGAATCTCAAGGAAGTATCAGGTAAGTAGCATGAAGAAGGCTAGAGATCTTTTTTCTTTTTATATTGTTTTCAAAATGTTAATAACAGTGTAATGTATTTGGAAATTTTGCTTAATGAATAGATTAGCTGCTCTTTCCGTACACATACAAATGAGTAACTATTTGAGATAATGAATATGTTAACTTGTTTCATCATGGTAATTATTTTACTATCTATATAGATCTTATAGCACAAAGGTGTATACTTTAAATATACACACTTATTTCTATACTTTCAATTTTAATGCAACACAGACACTAATAAAGAAAATATTAAAAACACTCTATGAAAAATACTTTCCTAATGAGATAATTACAGAGAATAACAATAGTTAATACACTGAGTCTCATGATCTTACACAAATGGCCACATTGTTACTCAGAGTACAAGTCATAAAAAGACTCTTACAAAGAAGAAACAAACTAATAAAAAGACAAAACTTCCTTTTCAATAAACAAGAAGAAAGTAGAGGTATAAATAAAACAAATTAACATATATCTTAAAATATTTTTGAAACAATGGAATAGATAATTTGAGAAATTTTTTGAACTTCTCTCCACTTCCAATTAATCTATCTTTATTTGGATCTCTTTCTTTCTCTCCATAGATCTCAGTTACTTATCTAAGAGAAATCATGTGACATTTAAGCTTGTATGTTTGCTTTATTTCACATAACATTATGCTTTCAAGTGGCACAGTAGTACTCTGTTGTGTATAAATATATTTCCCGTATCCATCCATTTGTCGATGAACATACACAATTTCCAAGATCTAGCTACCATAAATTATGTTTCTATAAACATGGGTATGCATGTATCCTTCTGTTATGATTTCAATGCTTTGGGCAAAATACCTGGAAGGGGGATAATTGGGTCACATGCAATTTCTACTTTTAATATTTTGAAAAATCTCCACACCAATTTTCATAATTTCTACCAACAATGTATAACAGTTCCTTTCCCTGTACATCCTCTCCAGCATTTACTATTTTTGATTTTTCGATGACAGTCATTCTTTCAAAATTTATTTTTAAAAGAAACACATTAATAAAAACCCACTGAACTTTGGCAAAGAAGAGTGAAAATATGTGGTGTGCTTACCCTGGTGTTCTTCCATATCCTAGCACCACTTCAGCTCCCCTAGCAGTAGTTCTACAAGGAAAGGCAAACAAGGACAACCAGAAGCTTTATCCTTCTAAGATCTCTACCCATTAGATGCCATTAGAATGTTTCTCTGTAGCTGTGACAATCAAAAATGTCTCCAGACACTGCCAAATGTACCCAGTGGAGAAGATAGGAAAGATTGTGCCTAGTTCAAAAGCACTGAGCTAAGGTGATCCCACAACAATGCCTAGAAAGCCTCAATTAGAAATAAAATTAAGACATAAAAATAAAACCTGCAGCAGAGACATTGGTGGGGACACACAGCAGGGGATATAGACTTCACTGACTCACTCCAGGAAAGTCATTAAAAGAGTAACTAAACAAATATACAAAAGCATAACAAAAAAAAAACCCTAAGGAGATTAAAAGTCAGCTATTAAAAGAATTATCTAAAATATCCTTACATTCTTTAGATGTACCCACCTGGTTTTAATGCATCATTTCTTTTACACTATACATTGTTAGATTTCATTTCTTAATATTGTGACAAGGAGGGCTGGGGATTTGGTTCAGCAATAGAATGCTTGCCTAGCAAGCTGGATGCACTGGGTTTAGTCCTTGGCACCAAAACCAAAATATAAGTCTCTTAAAAAAAAACCTCTCCTAATATTGTGACAAGGATTTTTGTGTCTAAATTCAGAAAATAGCAGCCTATAGTGTGCTTTTCATTCAGTTATTTGTAAGTATTTAATACTAAGATAAAGATGATCACATAGAAGATGATCATTTTCTTCTATTTTCTGGCAGGTAGTATACAGAATGAGTGATATTTCTTCCTTCACCATTGGGTAGTTTGCCAAAATTCATCTTGATCTGATGTTTTTGAAATATTATTGACATATATATATATAATATAAATACTTACAATTTAAATTATTTATCTTAGAATAAGTTTTGCTAGTTTGTGCATGTGTCTTAGACTGCTTGCATAATCTTAATAAAACACGATAGGCTGTCTAGCTTAATTCTGAATGCTAGGAATACAGGATTAAAGTGCCAGCTGATTTACTTCATGGTAAAAGCTCTCTTTTTGGCTCTTGGATGGCCACCCTCGCATTGTGCATTCACAGGGGGAATACTAGCACTCTGTTGTCTCATCTTGTTTTATAGCACACTAGGTTTCACTCTTTTAACCTCATTTAAACTTGATCAGTGTCTTAGAGGCCCTATCTCAAGCAATACAGTTA